GTAATAACATATATGCTTATATTAAATATGGCTAATGCTGCAAATAATGACCTTTAGTGTAATCTTGGCTAAAAAAAATCTACTTGAAAGGTTTAAAGACAATGGATTTCTCTACTGTAGCCATTTCAGGCACACAGGAGCATGTACTGCTGGTCAAACCAATCATAAGAGGGTTGGTTGGCTTAAAGCAAGGGGAGCTAACACAGCTTGTTTCTGACAGGATGACATAAAGAAGGATTATTTTGAACTTTGAATCATGCAAAGCTCTACTAGAGCTCAAAATTATAACACATAACTGAAAATGAGCCCCCTTTAAGGATCAGCGAGCTACACAAAATGTACAAAACCTTTAAAGCCTGATGGTGATTCTTACTTTCGATGCCTCTGCTTTCAAAGTCCTTCCCATGAGCCAAGTGGTACAAGTAGGAGTTGTTCAGCAGAGCCTGCAGAAACAAAACAGCAGCTTATTCAGCTGGAGGAATGACTTAAAACACGTTTACATCATTTTACGGATTCAATATAGTTTAATCAATCTTACGTTCAGTGCTCATCACCAAACTGAAAAGTTATTTTTAGGTGAAGTTTATTCTGCTTTCCTCTCTCTGTGAAATTTAGTCCTTATTATCTCTTCTTGGATAAATCCAAAAGTATTGGCTTATTTTTGAATTCATCAAGACAATAAAAAGATGCTACCGGTATGTGCTGCTATTCTTTCCGGCTTCTACTACTCAAATGTCCTCCATGGAAGCATTTGCCCTTTATAATATATCTATGGATAGAAAACCATCACTGGATTACTTTTATACGAAAGGTGTACAAGTTCTGAAAGAGAAACCAAACCCAAGATAAAAACATCCTTGGTATCTCTCCTTCCTGTAAAACGATCATACTGATCAAACCTCTTACAAACAAACCTGTGAATTTGTGGTGATTAAAAGCAGTTTGTTACCTTCGAGGGGATGCAGCCGACATTGAGACAAGTCCCGCCGAGTGTGAGATTTTTCTCGACACACACTGTCTGTCCAAAAATAACAAATGTAGAGACGGGGGATACATTATTCACCAAAAACTTCCACTTGTGACTATCTGTGGGATCTGTTTAGACAGCAGGATATCTGTCGAGCAGGTGGGTTACCTTGAAGCCGAGCTGTGCAGCTTTGATTGCAGCGACGTAGCCTCCTGGACCGGAGCCCACCACTGTGACGTCTGCATCAACTGCAGAGAGGCAACACAGCAGCTTTTAGCATGACTTTACGCCACCAGAGAAAACTACATGATTAAGGTCTGGTGTATGTAAATGAACATTTTAATGCAAGCTCTCTACCACCCCTCTTTACATAGCCCATGAAGTCCTATCCCCACCCAAATCCAGCACCTGAGACTCTCTGCAAGTCTGAATTATGAGACTGCTTTCATACAAACATCAGAGATCAAACCGCACAAACATGTGGCTAAAGTTCAGTAAACACTCTGCCACAAATAAAGTCCTATGATAAGATTCACAGCACAATCGTACTTGCTGCTTTGTCAGCGTAGGTCCGAACAGACAGCGCTGCAGCTCCGTGCACTTTGCAGGGCAGGTGGTGGCTCCGCTGTGAAGCAAACAAAATGCAAACAGTTAGAAAATACGCATGCACAATACAACTAGGCAATGCAACACAAAACAATGTTATAGTGCATCACAAGCCAACTTTGCAAACTAAAAGCATCTGTCTTCAGTGGCTTCTCTCACTTCCGTAATCTGCTGCTTAATCACTTCTATTTACGTCACTACTATTTCCTTTTAAAGCTGCATACTCAGATACTAAGTCACGAAGGAGCAAACTCAACTACTAAACTAACATTTGAATTTTCATATTTAGACTCATGCACTTGTTTTCATGGAATTGTACCACATTCAGCTGGTTTGCTGTTGCAGTGCCAGCTCTCAGCAAGGACACCCTCAGCCTGTCCACTAGCAACTCTGAAACTTTCCCCTCTAGCAGACTACCAAGTTAGCAAATAACTACTATTTAAGTGTTATAGAGTCACAAAGCTTCGAAACAATTCGGAATAATCTGATGCTCGCCGTGAAGCTGTGAGACAACAGCTGAGCTTACGACATAAATTATGAGTTAGGCAACTGCTGCTAAACAGCTAAGCGAGCTAACACGACACCGGAGTGGGAAATGTCAACTGTAAAGTCATAGAAACTAGATGCTTTTCTTCTAGCTTTGTGTGATTTAAGCCCTTTTAATATTAGCAGAATACAAATATCACGCTTCTTTTCATTGCAGGTTTTACTTCAAAATACTGCGGCAATATGTAACCAGAAAAGTCGTGATTTAGTTTAAATGTGGGGAAGGTTGTTAGTCTAACTCATGCCGAATTAAAAGGAAAAAGGTATATGAATAGGAAAAACATCAACTGAAAACCAAGCAACGTGTTTAGACATCGATAACCACAACAACTCCAAATTGCATGTCTTTTCCAGTACAGTCTGGTTCGCCTTCTGCTGTTAGCCGAGTAGCTAGCCAGGTGCGGGCCGCAGGTCCAAAATTCCCCTATCCTCTAGAT